CCTCAAGGCTCTTGGACCTTCCCCATCGTCCCAATCCAAAGTTCTTTCTTGGCCTTATTTCCTTTCACAGCAAGCTGTATCCTTTCTCAAGCATTTAATAGACATTCAATAATACTTCAGATTTATTGTAAGTTGCATAAAAGATAAATACAAAAATCTGTATTTTTTAAAAAAGCACAAACTGTTATCAAGCTACCAAAGTCAAAGAGGAAAAATAAAATCAAAGATTAAAAAGGAGACATTGCAACAAATACTACTGAAACAAAAGGAATCACAAGAAATTTACAGGAACCACCACATACTAACAATTTAAAGAAATTCATAGTAATCCCTAGATATGTACAATTTACCCAGATTAAATCAAAGAAGTACAGAAAATTGAAACCAACCAACTATCAGAGAGAAGGCTGAAGCACAGTTAAAAGTCTCATCAAAGAAAATCCCAGGACCTGATGGCTTTAGGTTAAAATTTACATAGATATTTAAGGAGGAATTAACTCCATTGCTCTTAAACTGTTCCAAAAGATGAAAAAAGCATGGAACTTACATTATTTTTTTAAAGGCCAACATTGTTTTGATACCAAAAACAAACAAAGGCACACACAGCAATAGATAATTACAAACATTTTAGCAAATGTTGATGCTGAATTCTTAAAAAATATTATCAAACAGAATCCAATAGTACATCAACAAGGTTATATATACATCATGATCAAGTGGGATTCATCCTAGTGACAAGGATAGTTCAACATTTCCAATCAATTAGCGTAATAAATCACAGCAACTGAATGAAGTACAAACATCATCTGATCTTTTCAATAGATGCAGAAAAGGTGTTTGTTAACATTCAACATCTCCTCGGGGTTAAAAACTCTTGAAAATTTTAATTTGAAGGAACATATGTCAAAATAACAAAGGTTTTATATGACAAACTCACAATCAATATGCAGAAGGTGGAAAAAATGAAAGCATTTCCACTAAGATCCAGAACACGACAAGAATGTCCGCTTTCACCACTCTTACTCAATACAGTTTTGAAAGTCTTAGAGTGGTTTTGGAAGAGAAAGAAATAAAGGACACTGACTGTAAATAATAATTGATAGAATTAAAAAGGAGAGAACAATCCAACATGGGAAGCGGCATACACAGCAGATTCACAGAATAACAAATACCCTAAAAGGCACTCTGGCCTCAGAATCAGTCCTTAAATCATTCAGATCTGTCTAAAAAGCCCATGAGCATATTTCAGGCATGGAAAGCCAAGGCACTGTGGCAAAAAATGACCTAAATGAAAGATCTCTGTGAGTGAGACCCTGGTGGAAATCTTAGGGGCCATCAAGGAAGGAGGTACCTTTCTCTGAAGGGAGGAGACAACTTCCATTTTGATTATGGCCTTGTCTAAATAAGATCAGAGTTGGTGAACTCAAGAGGCTTCCATAGCCTGGGCAGCTCATGACAGGGTCCTCGAGTGATCACTGACATTATAAATGAGTGTTAATTGTTAAATAAACAACAGGAGTCACTGTGCACTTGCTCCCTTTGTAGGATCCCTGTCCTTAATGTGTTGTACTATGAGAATTAACGGTAAAACCAATCGTCAAACAGTACTTTATACTTTGTGTTTCTGTGTGGGTGCAAACTCTTGAAATTTTTACTTAGTATAGAGTTGATATTCTGTATATAAAGATAATTAAAAATTAATCTTAATGAAGAATGGCATAGGAGAGGGAGGTGGAGATTGGATGGTTTGCGGGTGGGAGGGTGGTTATAGGGAGAAGAACTGCTATAATCCAAAAGTGGAGAAACAGAAATATCCAAGTTTACAAATGATTATACATGAAAAAACCTAATCCACCAAATACATGTTAGAACTCATAACTGAATTCAGTAAAGTTGTGGTATGCAAAATCAACAACAGAAATTATCATTAATAATCTTGTTGAAAGGAAAATGACAAAAGTAATTCCTTTCACAATATATAGGAATAAATTCTAACAGTGGAAGATTTTTACATTGAAAATTACAAGACATTGGTGAAAAAAATAGAGGCCATAAAATATGGAAAGTGAGCAGATGTTTGGAGTAGCATTTGACAGCACTTGGGATGCATGCATCTTCCATATTACAGTCCCTTGGGTTGATCCTTTCTCAATTCCTAATTCGAGCTTCCTGCTAATGTGCATTCTTGGAAGTGTAGTATGATGGCTCAAGTATGGGCTACTACCATCCATGTGTTAGTCCAGAATTAAATTCTTGTCTCCTGCATTTGGACTGGCCCAGTTCCACCTGTTGCAATATTTGGGAATCAAGCCATTAGATGAGAGATATTTCTGTGTCTGTCATTATATCTTTCTCTCATTCATAAATAATAAAAATATTTTTAAATGGAAAGATAAAACATGTTCATGGATTGAAAGAATTAATAATGTTAACTATCCAAAGCAATCTACAGACTAAAAACATTCCTTAAAGTATCAATGACATTCTTTACAGAAATATAAAAAATTGTCCTACAGTTCACGTGGAACCACAAAAAAAAAAAAAAACAAAAAACTAGAATTACCAAAGCAATCTTAAGGGGAAAAAATTAAGCTGGATGAACCACTATACCTGACTGTGGAGTATACCACAAAGTTATAGTAATTAAAACAGCATAGTGCTGACATAAAGCACTGAAAATTAGATAAATACAACAGAATAGAGAACCTGGGAGTTAATGCATATACAAATAGCCAAATGATTATCAATGAAGGAACTGACTACATACATTGTAGAAAGGATAGTCTAATCTATGGTGCTGTCAAAACTGGATATATAGGGGCTGATGCTGTAGCACAACAGTTAAAGCCTTGGCCCATACAGCCAGCATCCCATGTGGGTGCTGGTTCAAGTCCTGTCTGCTCCACTTCCTATCCAGCTCCCTGCTAATGCACCTGGGGAGAAAACAGAGGATGGCACAAGTCCTTGGGCCCCTGCACCCACGTGGGCGACCTGGAAGAAGCTCCTGGCTCCTGCCTTCATACCGTCTCAGCTCTGGCCATTGTGACCATTTGGGGAGTGAACCAGAGGATACAAGACTCTGTCCCTACCTCTCTCTGTAACTGTCTTTCAAATAAAAAATAAATCTTTTTTTTTAAAAAAAGGCAAAAAATCTAGATAAGCATGTTTATAAAAATGAAAGTAAATTCTCTCTCACTATATTAAAAATCAACTCAAGATGGATCAAAGACCTAATTATAATACCTGGAACTATTAAATTGCTAGAAGAAAACATAAAGGAAGCGCTTTATGACACTGATGTACACAAAAATCTTTTAGTTATGAGCCCCAAAACACAGGCAGCAAAAGCAAAACTAGACAAATGGGACTATATCCAACTCAGACATTTCTGCACAGCTGAAGAAACAATCAACATAGTGAAGAGACAATTAAGAGAACAGAAGAAAGAATTTGCAAGCTACTTATCGAACATAGTATTAATACACAGACTGTATAAGGAACTAAAAAACCTCAACAACAGCAACAAAACAAGAAAAGTAAGCAAGAAACAAGCAAAGAATCTGAATAGAAATTTCTCAAAAGGAGAAATAAAATTACCAACAAATATATGAAAAAATGCTCAAAAAATGCTCACTAGCCATTAGGGAATTGAAAATCAAAACTACAAAACGATAGCATCTGACTCCATTTATTCTAGCTGTTACCAGAAGGACAGAAAGTAGCAAATGCTGACAAGGATATGGAGAAAGAGTGACATCACATAACTGGTAGTGAGACGTAAATTAGTACGGCAACCATGAAAAACAGTATGGAGAGTCCTTTATTTTTATTTTATTTATTTATATTTTTGACAGGCAGAGTTAGAGAAAGAGAGAGAGAGAGAGAGAGAGAGAGAGAGAGAGAGAGAGAGAAAGGTCTTACATTTTCCGTTGGTTCACTCCCCCAAATGGCCACTACGGCTGGCGCGCTGCACCAATCCGAAGCCAGGAGCCAAGTGCTTCCTCCTGGTCTCCCATGCAGGTGCAGGACCCAAGTACTTGGGCCATCCTCCACTGCCTTCCCGGGCCACAGCAGAGCTGGACTGGAAGAGGAGCAACCACGACAGAATCTGGCTCCCCAACTGGGACTAGAACCCGGGGTGCCAGTGCCACAGGTGGAGGATTAGCCTAGTGAGCCATGGCACCATCCATGGAGAGTCCTTTAAAAAACTAGAAATAAAATCTTACTACTGGGTATATATCCAAAAAAAAAAAAAAAAAAGAAATGATTCTGTCAGAGAGATAGCTGCTCCACCATGTTTAATGTAGCACTATCCACAGTAGCCAAGATATGTAATCAGTTTGGGTTAATGAGTGGATAAAGCAAATGTTTCATTGATTTATTTATATTTTATATATTTAATATATAATTGAATATCATCCAGTTAGAAAAGAATGGAATCTGGGGTCGGTGCTGGCATCCCATGTGGGTGCCAGTTCTAGTCTCAGCTGCTCCTCTTCCAATCTAGCTCTCTGCTGTGGTCTAGAAAAGCAGTAGAGGGTGGCCCAGGTGCTTGGGCCCTGCACCCACGTGGGAGACCTGGAAGAAACTCCTGGCTACTGGCTTCAGATTAGTGCAGCTCCAGCCATTGCGGCCATTTGGGGAATGAATCAACAGAAGGAAGACCTTCTCTCTGTCTCTCCTCTCACTGTCTGTCACTCTACCTCTCAAATAAATAAAATAAATCTTAAAAAAAGAGAATTGAATCCTTTCATTTTTAGCAAAATGAATGGAAGTGGATGACATGAAGTGAAACATGCCAAACACAGAAAGACAAATGCCACACCTTCTCCTTTGTAGGTGGAAACTAAAACAACTCAATTTGAACATACAACAGTAATTACAGAGGCTGGGCTAGGAAGGTGATGGGGACTGTAAGAAGGTTGGATAATGGGTATTGATTCAGAGTTAGATAGAAAAAACAGGCTGCTAGTGTTACACAGCATAGTGGGGTGACTGACGTTCACAGTGACCTATTCTACATTCTGTGAGCAAATGGAACAGAGGATCTCCAAATCGCCAATCATAAACTAAAAACAAAAGAAGGAAATGTTAATTACCCTTATTTAATCAGTATACATGTATGCATTATTGAAAAGCCACACTTCAATACACAAATATTTTCAATTACTGTTAAGTATAAAAGCCTAACTCTTCATTTCATTGATCTTCAATTGTTTATTTGTGATAGTTTTATTTTTGCTAAATTTTTATTAATAAAGATAGTTAATTTTAAGATGCTCATATGTACAACTCTTTGAAATCATTTTAGAAACCTACATGAAGTGAAAACACTTTTGGGAACATAATTCATCAATCCTGACAAGATAATCTGATGTAGGTGCTGATTGCTATAAATGTCCCTGTTAGTACTGCATTTTGGTATGTTATGTATTCAATTTTCATCTGTCCAAGAATTTTATTAATTGCTAGTTTGAATTTTTCAATGATCCATTATTCAGAAGCATGTTGCTTAGCTTCCATGTATTTCTGTAATTTCTAAAATTTCTATTAACATTTATTCCTTGTTTTATTATGTTGTGATCTCTCTTTTTATCTGCCTCTCTCTCTCTGTGTAACTTTGACTTTCAAATAAGCAAATAAATCTTTAAAATAAATAAAGAGATAAATAAATAAAAACTCATTCCATCTTGAAAAAAAGGAAGAACTTTACAGATTCAATGTAATACCAATCAAAATATCAAAGACATTCTTCAAAGATCTAAAAAAAATGATAACATCCCTAAGGAAATACAGGAGACCTTGAATAGCTGAAGCAAACTTATACAACAAAATCAAAGCTGGAGATATCACAATACCAGATTTCAAGACATACTAACATGCAATTACAATCAAAACAGCATGATACTGGTCCAAAACAGATGGATAGACCAACGGAACAAAGTATAAACTTCAGAAATAAATCCACACATCTACAACCAACTTATATTTGACCAAGAAGCTAAAACCAATCCCTGGAGCAAGGACAGTCTCTTCAACAAATGCTGCTGGAAAAACTGGATTTCCACATGCAGATGTATGAAGCAGGACCTCTACCTTCACCTTATATAAATATCAGCTCAACATGGATTAAAGAACTAAATCTACGAGCTGATACCATCAAATTAATATAGAACATTGGGGAAACCCTGTAAGACATTGGCACAGGCAAGGAGTTCTTGGAAAAGACTCCTGAAGAACAGGCAATCAAAGTCATAATTAACTCATAGTGTTACATCAAATTCAGAAGCTTATGGACTGCAAAAGAAAAGGAAAGTGAAGAGGCAACCAACAGAATGTGAGAAATTATTTGCAAAGAATGCAACTGATGAAGGATAAATAACCAGAATATATAAAGAGATCAAGAAATTCCACAAAAAATGAACAACCCAGTGAAGAAATGGGAAAAGGACTTAAACAGACATTTTTCAAAAGAAGAAATCCAAATTGCCAATATACACATGATAAAATGTTCAGGATCACTAGCCATCTGTGAAACGCAAAACAAAATCACAGTGAGGTTCCACCTCACCCCAGTTAGAATGGTTTAGTGGATTAGGGGAGTGTCTTCTTTCAGGGAATAACTAGGGTGTGTGGTGGGTGTGCCAGGGAGTTTCCTTCTATTCTCCAGGGTGAATGGTGCTTTTATGCATATACACCCAGCTTGGGCTTGGTAAATCTCTCTCCTCTTTTAATCAGAACAGAAGTTTATTCTGCTCAGCTGAGCTCCACTCCTCAAAGAGAGCAGTTCCTGAGTGTTAGTCTCAGTAGGTATAATATTCATCCATTCTGCCCCAAAGACCACACAAAGGATCTGTGCAGTCTTCATTCTAAGTTCGGATTCCCCAGCAATGGCTGTCACCAAGTAACCAGGAAGCCCTGAGCACGTGGTGTCTCCCACAGTGGCTGCCCAGAGTCCCAGCCACACTGTGAGACCTCCCACACAGCCTCAGTTTTTGTCACAGTCTCAACACAGAAGACTCCCAGTCCCCTGTTAGATCACTCCACCAGAGTCAGGAGTCTCCACTCCTGGGCACCAACACAAGCTGGCCCAATTGTTAAGTAAGTCCAAAATGGCAACCACTCTATTGGTTTATTAAAGGATGTCATTGTAAATTGATTGGGGAGAGAGAAATATGTCTCTTTTTTTCTCCTCTGGTTTGGCAGGTACACTCTCCCCCATGGGGTTACAGGCTGGGTTCCCTCTAGACTCTTCTTGCAGCTTTAGCACCAGTGGCTTGGGCTGCTCTGGTGTGATCTTACCTCAGTTTCTAATGCTGGTGGGGAGGCTCTCAGCTGCTGGTGTCCTGCTTTGTGGGTATCCACACCCTCCATATAGGTCCACCATATTCTTCTAATTTGTGTAGAGTTTCCTCTGTCATTTTCTCCCTAACTCTTCCCTGAGACTGCACCCTCTCTACTTTTTTTCTAAACAGTTTTCTACTGGAACAGTGCAGTAAGCTCCCTCCCTACTGTGCTATCTTGGAACTCTGGACTCTCTCATTGTTTTTTAAATTTTTTTTATTTATAAAAAGGGAACTTGGCCGGAACCCTGGCTCATTAGGCTACTCCTCCGCCTGCGGCGCCAGTACTGCAGGTACTACTAGTCCCATTTGGGGCGCCGGATTCTGTCCCAGTTGCTCCTCTTCCAGTTTAGCTCTGCTGTGGCCCAGGAAGGCAGTGGAGGATGGCCCAATTGCTTGGACCCTGCACCCACATGGGAGACCAGGAGGAAACACGTGGCTCCTGGCTTCAGATCACACAGCGTGCCAGCCGTGGCAGCCATTTGGGGGGTGAACCAATGGAAGAAAGACCTTTTTCTCTGTCTCTCTCTCTCTCTCTCACTAACTCTGCTTGTCAAAAAGAAATAATAAAAATTAAAAAAATAAAAAAAAAGGGAACAGACTCAAGCCGTTCCCGGCATGAAAACAAAACCATTTACCCTAATGATGAGAGGTGATGAGGAGTTAAACAGTAAGAGAGAGTGGACTCCAGAGGCAAGACAAGAGCTTCAAAACATTAGAAAGCTACTAAAGGAACATAAGGCATTAGCATTTTGGGAACCTAGTGAGGAAGTATATTGTACTGTAATGATATCAGGGAATACATTAAATTGTAAAGTTCTCCAGGGAAACAACATCCTCTGGATAGGAAGGATAGAGTTTCCTAGAGTAATAGCAGCTTCCCCTTTAAATAGAGCCATTTGGTGCCTACACAAAGTAAGACAGGAAAGTATTACAAGACTAGGAAGAGAACCTATTTATAGGCTTCCTATAAAGAAGGGAGATTTGGATATCATTATCCTAGAAGACCCTTATCTACACTGGGTACCCCAAATAGAGTGCATGCATGCTCCTATAATTCAGGAGAGCTTTAAGCAGTCTACAGGCTAAGCCGGTAGAAGGACCCCACATTACGTTGATGGAGGTAGCAAACAGGGAATGGGAAAATATGGCTTTTGGACAGCTGAAGAAAAAATAATGATTAAGGAACATGAAGGGAGCAACCAAGAATTAAAAAAAGAGCTATACTTTCTGCCCTTCAGGCAGGACCTGAAAAAATGAATATAGTTACTAATTCACAGTATGTATGTGGGTTAATTGAGGCAACGCCTCGGCCTGAAGACATCGAAGAACCTCTCTTGAAGACTATACTAGAATCTATAGAAAACAAAGAGGAGCTTTATATACAGTGGTACCAGGGCACAAAGGTATATCAGGGAATGAAAACATTGACAAGCTAGCATCCACATCTTGTAGGATTCAGATACACCTAGTGGTGCAAGGAGGTAATATCCGGGAGAAGGTACCAGAACAGGTAGGATCTAAGCACCAAGGAATTTATTTCCTTGAAAACATCAAGTCAGCAGAAGAGGACCATACAAAATGGCATGGGGATGTTCAATACTTAAGACAGAAGTATAACCTTCCAAAGAACGTTGCAGAACAAATAGTTAAGAAGTGTCCCAAATGCATTAATAAAGGAGGAACTATCCCACATCTCAGTAGATCAGGACCAGGTGTATGGCAGATGGATGCCACACATGATGAAGGAAAAATCTTTATAGTAGCAGTTGAGACATCCTCAGGACTATTATGGGCTAAGATAGTTCCAAAAGAAAACGCACAAGAAATCGTATGGGCTCTATTAGAGCTAGCTCACTTATTTCATATTACAGGATTACATACAGACAACAGGCCTAATTTTACAGCAGAAAAAGTAGAAGGGCTGTGTAAATATTTAAATATTGATCACACCACAGGTACTCCATATAATCCACAATCCCAGGGCATGGTAGAAAGAGCAAATCAAGCGTTAAAGCAGGAGATGGATAAATTTACTGAAGAAGTACAAACTATAGAGGCTCATTTACAATTGGCTCTTATAGCTCTTAACAAAAAGAAAAGGGGAGGAATAGGGGGATACACCCCTATAGAAAGGTATATTTATCAAAGATGGCAGGAACTAGGCCAGAAGTTACAAATCCAATAATTTAAAAAACAAAAAGTATCTTGTTTTTCTAGACTCCCCAATAGCAAAGATTGGAAGAGGCCTACAATTATCTTATGGAAAGGGGAAGAAGTGGTAGTTGTAGAAACCCCTGAGAAAGAGATAATTAGTTTACCACAAAGACATGTTAGGCTAATCCCAAACCTGGAAAATTAACCTTCCTACAGCATACATGAATTATCAGCTATGATTACCCTGCCAAAATAATCCCTGCATGTGCTCTGAATGCTGCTATCATTGCCAATTATGCTTTCTACAAAAGAAGTTAGGGATATCTTATTCCAGACAAAAGCAGAAAGAGATCGAGTATCGATGGCGCAAGTATTACCAATTAGTGGAGAAGAAGCAAAAGAATTGTATCAAAAACTCATAGAAAAGATGATACAGGAAGGAACATGAGAGCCCTCCATGAAGAACCTGTTTGAGGGACTCCAAAAGGAACAACAAGAACAAAAGGCAGGAGAATTGCAGGAAATAAAAGAGAAACTAACTGAATGGGAGCCAGGTAAGGTATACACAG